TCTGTGATTCAGGGAAGCCACAAGAGCAGACATCCCATCAAAACACATGGAGCTCAAAATCACAGACACCTATTATATGAGCGCTGGGCACGGTGGGGGATGTGGTACAAATACCAGCCTCTGGATTTAATCAGGTACTCATACAGTGTACCACAACTTGTTTCAATTATGTGAAAAGCTAGGCAGCAATAGCCTACCCATTCTGCTGAAAATTACAGGGATTTTATATTTAAAGTGAACAAAACTTTTTGAGCAAAAATGTGTCTCTTTGCTTGCTTGATAGAGTTTAGCTACTTGGTATTACAATGAATGGCCTCGGTCCTGCTAGTTGTTCAGTGTTGGTGGATCCTTGTGTAGTCTTACTGATTTCAGTGGGGTCCATGAAGGTGGAGAGATTCACCCTCATGGAACAACTTGCAGAGAGAAAGCCTAAGGCTCAATTCTACAATCTGATTGGCACAGACAGACCCTTACTCCAGCCAGAGACTTTTTGAAATCAATGTAGCGTCAAATGGCTGCTACCACATGGATCAATTTGCATGGACGAGGGTTTATGAGAGAAATGTTGACGAAGTTTAAAACAAAAATCTAGTTTTGATACAATCAGTGTTGGAATTTATGTATCATTTCTTTTACCTATCTTACTATTAACACCAGAGCTTATTAAAACTAAAAGAATTTTAAAAATCAGTTTTTCCCTGTAATTAATGCTGGTGTTTGCTTTTTCATTTCGCTTACCTTGGACAGTGAATACAGACAAGTCAATTTCATTTCTGCTTACTGTCAATTTCTAGTCAATTTTAGGTCCTCGTCCTGCAATCTGATGCATGTGGGTGGCCCTTATGTCCCCACAGAGTCCCATGGAAGACAAGGGAGCCGTGCATGGGTATAGGGGTCCTTCTGTCCTGACCAAATTGTAGGTTCAGTGCCTTATTTTCTAGCCACGTTCATGGCCATCTCAGCTCTTCTGGAAACTTTTGGCCCATTTTTGAAGAATCAAGGCTAAATCTTGAACTTATGTTCACCATGTAGTACCACTTTGCTCTAACAATAGATTTCTGTGACAATCCAGCATATGTTGTTGTTTTTTTTATAGTGGACTACATCTATGGAGAATGGGCTCTTTGTCACCTTCCTTGTCAAGATCCCAACATGGGCAGTCAAGGCCAAGAGTCAAAGCAGGGGCAAATCTGGGGTTGGGAATACCAGAAAAGTTTGTAGGCAGGTCCAGATCAGGGCTCATACCATGGGTCACAGTCTGAGTCAAGTTTCAGCCTCTGAGTCAGGAATCAAAGTCCAAATCAAGCCGAGAATTCAAGAGCAAGGAGCAGGAACAGTAATGGCAGCTACAGAAGATCCACACTGTTGCTGGGACGCTTCCTGGAACACACCTTGGGTTTATATAGGGCAGGGAGCCAATCAGGAGTCATGCTGCTGCTGTCTGTCAAACCCTTGAGGCAGAACTTCCCATGTCTTTGTCTACAGCGGGTCATGGGAAGTGGAGTGCAAGTTGGTTACGGGCTGGAGATATCAGCTGCATGGTAGTTCTACAGGCTGGGTTCTGTAATTTTGTTACACAAAAGTATTTGCATAACACTGTGTCCAACTCTTCTGAATTTAATACTAACAAATGTGCTGTTTTATAATTCCTACTTTTAACAGAGCTGAAGTTACTGACTACTCTAAATCATTGCAACAGTGTAAAATTGTAGTGCACTCCAGCTGTTTCCTTATGGGATGTGTGTATTGTTTAGTCTGCAATTAGTGCCACTAAAGTATTATGTTAGAGTGAAATAAAATTGTATTTCACACAAGTGCTACTAAAAAGATAATACATGAAAATAAACCTAATAATGATTATTTCCTTTTAGGATTCCTGTAATGCTATCAAGATGGGCCTGATCATTTACTTCAAACTGTTTGTTTTTGCTTCACACAGGCGGTATTTTGGTGAAAAAATTGGCCTTTATTTTGCTTGGTTGGGATGGTACACTGGAATGCTCATTCCTGCTGCACTTGTCGGGCTGTTTGTTTTCCTTTATGGATTGTTTACCATGGATTCTAGCCAAGTAAGGTATGATGCACAATAAAATCCCATTTTTAAAACCACAATAGACAGTTATTCTTGCCAGTTCCATTGTTGAAAATGCAAGTAGCAGCCAGGCACAACCTAAACCAAATGTTGCATCTCTTCAATCAAACTTTAAACATTTGCTAGACTTATAGCATTTCATAATAAACTGTTATCAGCTACATCCCCTCTGTGTAACCATTTATATCAAAAACTGGACATTTACCATTCATAGTAGCTAAATTTATGGCTGCGTTTGTAGCATTTCCAACTCTGTGTACAAGGAAATACAGCAAATACTGTGCTGAAGATAAGTAATTGCAAATGACCACCCATTAATGGTTCTCACTATAGTGAGGTGAACTCATGAAAATTCTCTCTCGTGATCTGTGGATTGGAGTATGGGATTGCATATAGATCTGGGTGCATCAGTACAGTTCCAGAACTTCAACCTCTACCCTTCCCTGCAAACCTTTCCCACCAAAAGGGATGATGTCATTGAAACTCTGAACCTAATTCTTCTCTCAGCTACATTGGTGTAAATTAAGAGCCAACTCCATTGTAGCCAATGGAGTTACTCATTTAATACTGGTGTAAGGGAGATCACAGTCAAGTGCTGTGCTGCATGAAACCCACCGAAGTCGCAAAGTGAATTTCCCCTGATGTGGGTCTGTCCCAGGAGGAGATCATGATATCAACTTAAGAAATAAGTGAAGAGAATTTGTGCTAAAGCAAATGTCTGATATGTTGTAAGGAGAACTATTTCTAAAGAGAGACTTTTCTTTCCAAAGCTTTCCATTAGGAGTGATTAGCTCCTCAATGCAGAACGACAACCCATGGGAATAGAACATAAAGCTTAGTCTGTGGTTACTATTACTTTGCATGCTCAGATTGTTACTTTAATGGAGCAAAATTTTGTAGAAAATTAATGCATTTTAGCCTTTGAACAAGGAGCATTTTACCTTTCTTTAAATTGTCTTTATCCTGTATTTTACAAAGTCTTATATTGTCTCCCCTGCAGTGCTTAATTAAAGCTTTGTCAGGCTTCCTGTTATGAACCAAAATGTTCAGATTTGACTGTTTCAGATAACATTCGATGTTATATCAGCCAAACACCATGTATTTTTATTAATATTATGTATTTGATTGTGCTGAGGTGTTTAACTGTTTTTTCCGTGTTGTAAGTTTGAAAGGCAAACCCACAACATGAAATTGAGTCAATTTAAAACCGAGTTAAAAGTAGTTTCAGATACATCTGCTCCCTGTGTCCTCTTGCTATTTTTCTAGTTTTACAATCAGATTTCCCTATTTTTAAATGCTTACTTTCCCTTGCTTTATGAAAGACCTGTTCAAACAAAAGAGGAAACTGGCCCTCTACAAGAGGAAGTGTGAAAACTATCTACATAGAGGTGTCAGAATGCTCAGCAAAAGCAAATTAGGTCATCTAGGAACATGAGTTTTATGCTGCACAGCGTGGCAATGACAGCAGGCATAGAACTCAGATCATCTTGCTCCAAAAGCACATGCCCCTAGCATTTGAGCTGAAGTATTTTAGCTGTTGATAGTCTGACACTTAGTTAAGCAGTTCTAATTCTATACAGTAGAAGACAGTATACACACACAAACTAGCCCATTCATTACAATATGTCCCTGCGTATTCTGGTGTAGGGTAGCAAAGATTAAACAAAATACTAGTAAATTAGATTGTGAAGACAGCAAAGAATCCTCCATTAGCAAGAAGATGGAGTAAATGACCTCATAGGTCTTTTCCATTTTTATATTCTGTGGTTCTAGGATTATTTAGTCAATGTTTGTAAATCACTTTGAAGAGGATAAGTGCTATATAAATGCTAGGTGGTGGTAGTAATTTATTTGGTTTTGCACTCTGTAGATGTCACGTTACACAAACACAAGGTACATCACAGTATACTGGCTGAACTGTTTTCTCCAAGACTGTTTTTTTTTTTTTTTAATCAGGATGAAAACAATGAACATTTAGCATTTTAATTTTGTGCCAGGGCATTATGTCAATCTGACAAATTGGCATATTGCCCCAAAACCTATTCAAAAATTTGATTATTTGGTACAATACCAATTGATGCCAGGTTGACTTTTTATTCTAGTAATGCCCCTTATCAGGAATGTGCAAACTGTAAATATCACTTTGGATTTTGCTCGTAAAACAAACTGTTTATGGACATCAGTGACACAACTTGTTAACTTTGGTGAACATAGAGCAGATAATTTTTTTTTTTTTAAACCCTGCTCAGTGATCAAATTAGGTTTTGTAAAAATTGCACTTTGCTCAGTAGTGTCAATTCAACTGTTAGGGTTATGTAAAAGTCTGCTTCTTGGGAAATACAAATCCTCCCTCTAGTGGTTTAGGAGCAAATTTGATCATTTGGCTTTTTCATTTTATCTCCATTGTACCATTTACTTGCATTGTAGAACTGATGCAATTAGATGGTAATTGAAAAACCAACCTTTTATACAGTATAAATATCTCCAACAAACATTAATATATGGTCCATGTTTTAAAACATGTTTTTCTCACTGCTGTCAGCAGAGTAGCTTGGCAAGCCAGAGGACTTTTCATTTCCCTATGACAGCTGATGGGCAAGGCAGATCATTCCATCAAAAGTCCCATTCTTTGTTGCCAGGGCTCCGCATTGGTATTAGGGCTGCTATGCATGGTAACCTCAGCCTGTGATTTCCAGTGGTGACAGCTAGTTCCTTGATTTTGTTGGGAGATGGATGTTGCTATATCAGAAAAACCCAGTGGATCTGTACCAAATTACCTTTGACACACAGTTTGAGATATATACTTCGGGCCCAAACATGCACAAACAAAGCTGCAGTATTTCAACCCATACTTTTTGTTTTGTTTGTTTCTATTGTGGTATATATTTAATGATAAAGTTGCCATTTCTTCACCAGGTTGTGAGACAGATTTAATGTGTGCAACATACTGAAGGCCCTCCTAGCTCTTAAAATTCTTTCTTGGACTGTTGATTAATTGCAGTTAATTCACGTGATTAACTCAAAAAAATGAATCATGATTAAAAAAATTAATCGTGATTCATTGCATTTTTAATCGCGCTGTTAAACAGTAGAATACCAATTGAAATGTATTAAATATTTTGGATGTTTTCTACAATTTCAAATATATTGATTTCAATTACAGCACAGAATACAAAGTGTACAGTGCTCACTTTATATTATTTTTATTACAAATATTTGCATTGTAAAAATGATAAACAGTATTTTTCAATTCACCTCATGCAAGTACTGTAGTGTAATCTTTTTATGGTAAAAGTGCAACTTACAAATGTAGATTTTTTTTTTGTTACATAACTGCACTCAAAAACAAACAATGCAAAACTTTAGAGCCTGTAAGTCCATTCAGTCCTACTTCTTGTTCAGCCAATTGCTAAGACAAACAAGTCTGTTTATGTTTACAGCAGATAATGCTGCCCTCTTCTTATTTATAATGTTACCAGAAAGTGAAACTAGGCATTCGCATGGGACTTCTGTAGCCGGCACTGCAAGGTATTTGTGTCAGATATGCTAAACATTTATATGTCCCTTCATGCTTTGGCCACCATTCCAGAGGACAGGCTTCCATGCTGATGATGCTCGTTAAATTTAATTAACACATTAATTTTTTGAGACTTAACTCATTGGGGGAGAATTGTATGTCTCCTGCTCTGTTTTACCCGCATTCTGCCATATATTTCATGTTATAGTAGTCTCGGGTGATGACTCAGCACATGCTCATTTTAAGAACACTTTCACTGCAGGTTTGACGAAATGCAAAGAAGGTACCAATGTGAGATTTCTAAAGATAGCTACAGCACTCAACCCAAGGTTTAAATATCTGAAGTGCCTTTTAAAATCTGAGAGGGATGAGGTGTGGAGCATGCTTTCAGAAGTCTTAAAAGAGCAACACTCTGATCTGGAAACTATAGAACACGAACCACCAAAAAAGGAAAATCAACCTTTTTCTGGTGGCATCTGATTCAGATGATGAAAATGAATATGCATCGGTCCACACTGCTTTGGATTGTTATCAAGCAGAATCCATCATCAGCATGGACACGTCCTCTGGAATGGTGGTTGAAGTGTGAAGGGACATATGAATCTTTAGTGCATGAAGCGGGCAACATTATCTCCTGCAAATGTAAACAAACTTGTTTGTCTGAGCAATTGGCTGAACAAGAAATAGGACTGAGTGGACTTGTAGGCTCTAAGTTTTACATTGTTTTATTTTTGAAGGCAGTTTTTTTTGGTATATAATTCTACATTTGTATGTTCAACTTTCATGATAAAGAGATTGCACTACAGTATTTGTATTAGGTTAATTTAAAAATGCTATTTCTTTTGTTTTTTACAGTGCAAATATTTGTAATCAAAATAAATATTAAGTGAGCACTGTCTACTTTATATGCTGTGTTATAATTGAAATCAATATATTTGAAAATGTAGAAAACATCCAAAAATATTTAAATAAATTGTATTCTATTATTGTTTAACAGTGCGATTAATCGCTTGACAGCTCTAATTCTTTCCATATTTTGCATTCTTTTCTTCAGATGAATTATGTGCAGAACCAACCATATATTTAAGCCACACATCAGAACCAAAGACAGGTGTAGATTTTCCCCTCCCCTTTGTTCAGGGGCTTATGTAGAAATAAATTTGTTGTTTTTAGAGTAGTTAGCATTTGAGAGATTTCTACACATCACATGAAACATGCCCATGATTGCTCCTCTTATCGACAGCCTCAACTCAGAAAGGCCAAGAACAGAACGGGCCATGGAGCTTTAAGCACCTGTTCACCAATAAAGGGGTTGGCCCTTCAGGTCAGGGTTGACGTGCACTGGGCAAAGAAGTAGGGGGATGCTTTCACTTCTATCTATACTGTTCTTGCTCAGAGGATTTTAGCAGCAAGGGCAGTCATCCTGACATCTGATTGCTAAATTTGCTAAAAAATTAATAGCTTTACCGATAATTGTTCATAAGCATCTGGGCTAGTATTGCTGTAACTTTCTTTGAGTTTAGCTGTTGGAAACAAACTGGGGTTTTAAAACAGAATTTATAAGAAGATTTCAGCACCATCATGCATAGATTACAACTGCATGTTTTATATACTTTAATGTCTAAATTCTCAGTTACAGCAGTACAATCTGTCTTATGTTTTTTATAGTTCATATTGTCATCTATTATATTATACTGTAGAGATCTCATTCTTTGCAGTTAACTGCTTGAAAGAAAATTCCCTTACATAGTAAGACTTGTGATACAGGTCCAAATTCTATTCCTAGACACAAAGGCATGCATTGATGCACATCTCTGAAATCAGCTACTGTGCTTGCTCCTGCTCAGAGATTTTTTAGAACAATTTCTTTGACAACTCCTAATTTTCTTATAAGATTTAATAATTTAGAGACTGGCATTGCTGAGAAAATTTAGCTAAACGCCCATACAAACATCATTGGAGAGAGCACAGTCTGCACCATTATTGTTCCAGAAATGGGATTTAATGTGAATGCCCATTTGTAAATAAATGCCAAGTTCAATGTTGTAGTTTCCATTAGAGCTGAGAGTACAGATTCCATGAGATACTTAATAGAACCCAAACCAGCAGAGTTTGTGTAAACTGAAATCAAACTGGACTCCTTTGCATTTGTATTATACCTCTTTTACTGCCTCAGGGAGCTATTGCAGCCCCAGTTCAGCTGGGGAAAGGGATGTTTGATTGGGCCAGTGCTAGAAAGATAAGGACTTAGGACAGGAACTTAAAAGGTGTGTTAAATGGAGTTAGTAATTTTGTAGTAACCTGTGGCTAGTGTCCATTGAGAATCAAAGGGGCCAGCTCCGAGAGGTACACATGAGTGGGGGACTCAGGATAACTATTAGCTTGTAGGAAGAAGGGCAAGGCTTTGCAGACTGGAATACCCTTCATCTGTACCCTCATTCCCCCTCATGGAGGAAGGGGGAAAGGATTTAGAAGTGGTTTGAATCCTATGGGTTAGGCTAAAGAGGCCAACAGTTGATATGGTTATTTAACAAGGAGCCCATTTAACACCATCCTTAGCCACAATAAATATCTAGTATTTTGTGGGACAGTGAGGTATTACACACTCTTCATCCCCATTACTGATCCTAAAAGCTCATGCTTCAGGGTTTCAACTGGCCACCTGCAGGGGTCAGGAAGGGTTTTTTTGTATTCTGGGTGATTGTTGTGGTTTTGTTTTTTTTTTCAATCTCCTTCCTCTGAAGCATCAGGCATGAATGGCCATGACTGGAGATGGGACATTCATCAGAGAGGGGCTCTGAGGTGGAATCGAGCAATCTCTCTCTCAAGTGCTTGGCTGGCTGGTTCTTGCTCACATGCTCAAGGTTTATGTGGGGTTGGGAAGAAATTTTCCCGCAGTTCAGACTGGCAGTGACCTTGGGTTTTTTGCCTTCCTCAGCAGCACGTGGTATAGGTCACTTTCCAGGATTTACTGGGTATATCTCACTTAATCATTTCCCTGCATTGTGGGGGCCTTGGGCATTGGTGCACCTTGGTCCTTCCTATTCTCTTCCTGTGTCACATAATAGTCTAGTCTCCTGTGGGCTGTAATACTTTGGTTTCATTTCAGTTATTGGGATTAATGTGCAGGTGCTGGGTGGTGGTCATGGCCTATACAGGAGGCCAGACTAGGTGATCCAGTGGTCCCTTCTGGCCTTAACCTCTGACTCTGTTAAAAGTTGCTGTCTTCTGCTTTAAAAGCCATCCCTGTGTCTGCTTTATTTTCCCGTGTGTCCTGATCAAGGTACTCAAACATGTGCCTAACTTTAAGAATGCTAATAATCCCATTGAAGTCAATGAGACTACTCATGTACTTAAGCACCAGAGCCTTCTGAAGTAGTATGATATCTGAGGATTTTTTTTTTCCAACCAGTAACTGAAATGTCATAAGAAGACTGGCTCTTTTTATTTTGTCCCCATACATGATTCAATCTTGGAGGAAATTAAACACAAATACTTGAAATACAAATGCTAGAAGTTCTCCACCCTTTGAGCTCACCCCTCCCCTATAAAACTAGTTGCCACCAGCGTTAGATGTTTTTGACATTAAATGTCTTGAGTGAAATCCTGGCTCTATTTAAGTAAATGTAAATCTCACATTGGACTTCACTGGGGCCAGGATTTCACCCCTTGTCACTGCCCGTGTGGTATGTTTTTTTTTTTTAATTTACACATGGTAGGCCAGATCTTTCAGATGATGTAAATTGACATGGCTCCATTAATGTTGACAGAGCTATGCCAGTTTACATCAGCTGAGGATCTACTCCCTGTGTTTAAAGGGTGTTATAAATAGTACTACCTAACTTTGCTAGTTAGATGTCTGGGACCAATGCATCAGTTCTACTGCATGTAATACTTCTGTTGAAATCCATGTGTGTTTAGCAGAAATAGGGACTGAAGTATCAGGTCCAAAGATGATGTGTTATTTGCTTAGGGTCAAATCCTGTTGGCACTGAAGTTATTTGTAAAGCTCCTCTTTATTTCAGTGGGACCAGGATTTGGCTCTTAAATTCAATTGATCATTGAAAATTAGATTTTTAATGAGCCTATTTCACGGTCTAGGCATGTTAAGAACCAATTAAGAATATAAATTATGTGGCCTGGGTCTGGAAAAATGTGGAGGATGCTGAAAGCCTTTTTTATCATCTTTATTTTCCCATCTTTCTACTAAAGCAAAGAGATCTGTGAGGCAAATGAAACCATCATGTGCCCTATGTGCGAACGCAATTGCACGCTACAGAAACTCAACGAAAGCTGCATATATGCAAAGGTAATTATTAGTTTTGTGCTGCAAACTGATGCTATCTAAAAGTCAATTCTTTCTGCATAACGATTGCTGCTGTTACTTCAGCAAAGGCTCCTCTACAATTTGGTGATGCTCTGCTAACTTTTCAGTGACAAAAATATTTGCAACCTTTCTACTCAGCATCTATTGTCTTTCAATTGATAATAAAGCAATAACAGCTGATTCTAAAAATGACTTTCTGAGAGCATTTTCTTCTTACCTCTATTTTGTCTATCTGAAGAGCCCCGATGATACAGCAAACTTTTTTTTTCTGGTAGGGTTTTCTACTTTCCTATATGATTATGTTCTCACTTTTCTGTTTCCCTGTAGTGTTGATGACTGGATTTCTGTTCTTTTTAAAGGATTTTTTTTTCATTATAGAGAATTATAATGCTCCTGTGGTGTGCCCAATGCAATGGTCCTACACAGGCAAATCTTTTGCTACAGGAAACTGTCCATCAAACATAAACATTGACTGCTTTTGAATGCAAGCAATGTATATAAATGGACACACATATGAAGCCACTTTGGTTTGTATTATATTACCAAGGCTGGAACCAGTCTCAGCTTTTCTTTCTCAAAATTATTCAGCACAATCAAATAATTCTTGTTTAGAACTCAGTATTGTTTACAGAAATTTGAATGGCTCTGGCTTTAAGGCATGATGGTAATAAGTTGAGAAGGAAATTCAGTTTTTAAAGGATTTTGAAATTTAGTTTCACAAATTGGAACTAAGCCCAAAAATGTAGAAATTCTCCATGAAAAGAAAATGCCAAGCAATTTTTTGATCAAAACATTTCATTTTGATTTTTAGTTTACTTTATAACACATACCATAATACACAACAAAAACAATCAAAACAAAAAGTCATGACAAATCACAATGTTTAATTTCCAAAATGTGGAAATGGGATGTTTTCATATTGTTGGAGCTTGGTTTTTCCTCCAAAACAAAATTTTAATGAAATCAACTTGATTTCAAGAAGCCTCTTGATTTTACTGGAAGGGCCTTTTCTGACAAAAAATGGTTCCATCAAAGTTTTTTCTGACCAGCTGTATTAATAATTGTACATATACTGCATGTAACACCTTTCATCAAACGCACACAAAGCATTGTACAAACTGTGCTGCCCATCACCTATGGAGTGCAGCTGTTTAATAGCCCACAGCAGCCCTGCCCAGCAGTTGACTGGAAGGGACACAATAATCTCAAATGTAGTAGTTTTAAATCATGTCATTTTAGGATCCCTGTCCCTGAAGAAATGTTTTTTCTTTCTTATATTTGCTATGAAAGTTGCAGGCTTAGTGCTGTAAACATCACACGCCCTTGTAAACAGTAGCCTGGAAGAGAAAGAGAGACAGATGGCATTCCAGGCCTGAGCTGAATGCCACCCATGCACATCAATGGGTGGGGGAAATTGATAAGGCCAGAGGTGAAGGGGGGCAGTGATGGTAGCAATAGAGGGACGCACTCACCTAGGGACAATAGGTAGCTCCTCCCATAGGAGTCTTTGGCACCCATTGGCCAGCTGGGGGAGAGGGGCACTGATTGGCCAGTGTTCCCCAGCTCCCAGGATTTAACCTGATTCAGGGGCCATGTGGAACCTCTTTTGGCTCTGTTCCAGCTGCCCACCCTACCCACCAAAACTAGGAATGAGAACCCAACCTGACAGATGCTGTGGATCTAGCTGGTAGCCTGTTAAGGGGGTTAGGAAGGAATTTTTTCTCCCATGGGTCAAATTGGATTTGTTTGTCTTCCTCACACCACCTGCAAGCCACAGTGGGTTAAATAGGAATGTGCATGGTACCTCACTGGGTACTGGGGTGACATTGCTTAAGTGGTGGATCTGAATGCACCAGACTTCACAGTAAAGTTAACATAACCCTGGTGATTTTTTTTTACAAGGCTTGAGGGTGTGGGATGGAAATTATGCAATTTTCCTCCTCTCACTCTTGCCCCTGGCCCACCATTTCCCTCCTCCTGAGAGGCAGATCACAGGACCTGCAGAAAACCCTACCCTTGTCTGGGGAGATGGAAGATAATGCTGTGAAGGTGGCTAGCCTACTTCCTTATATCATCCCCTCCATGCAGCTGTAAGGAGCACAATTTGTACCATGACATTTCTTTTTATATGTCCCCTTAAGAATAACATAACCAATTAGTACTGGGGAGATAATTTAAGGAGAATGTAATTATTTAAGGTGTGATTTGGCCAGGACACCAGGGTTCACACTCTTGTTCTTGAAAAAGAGTTCTTTAACAATCAGAGGTGGTCAGCACCTTGGTTTTATGTTTTTGTCTTGCCTTCAACTGTATGTTGCCCTATAGCACATTTCCTGACTCACCAGCACTGCTTTCTGTACTTCTCACTTCTATGCAGAGGCCCAGCCAGCTCGGCCCACTCTGCTTAGCTTTTGGATAAAATCCTAGTTTGATATATTACTAAGACTACAGGCCAAAACTGGTCTGGTCATTCTAAAGAAAATGCATGATCTGGAGTTGGAAACCCACCTTCTATTCAAGCAAGATCTTCTGAGCCATAACTCTTTTGGGGTTCCTTTTCCATTTCTTTAGAGAGGTGTATTGTTTACAGATATCTTTATTGCACAGATTCCCCCAACCTGCCATGCATTAAAAATCTGGAAACACTTGTCACTTTTATTGATCTGTAAAATTTTGTAAATTCTGCCGCTTTCATTTTCCAATCAGATTTTCAGTCTCATAAAATACTTTGCTTGTATGTTCCTTTTATTATAACAAAAGAACAACAAAGCCAAAGGCATATTTGCATATAAGTTTCACACAATTATATAATTCACACAAAGAACATATTGTACTTGATGATCTTTGGCATTAAGTAATAACTTCTCCATTTTCTTCAGCACAGTAAAATAAACAGAGCCCTGTTTACTACTAAAACTTGTGTGTTTAATAACTCTACTCAATATTAGAAGTGTTTGCATTCAAGAGAAAATAAAACATACTGGCAAGCAATACAGTGTTTATATTGTTTTAACTTTTTCTCCTGGATTTATAAATGATGAGGATTTCAACAGAGTTTTTCAAATATTTAATTATCTTCCCTCTTACAGAATAGCCTCTGTCACTTGCTCAGTGTTTATTTTCTAAAAGCAGATGACAGTCTTTCATTTGAAAAAATGTAGATTTGTCTGGTTTACAGGACTGGAGTCTGCTACACAGGACAACCCCAATGACAAAACAAGGCAGCTATTATGTGTAATAGTTTTGCTAGAAGGTGTTACAACCTCCCTTCAGCAAACTGTCAATCCCTTCAATATCCCATAACCCTTGAGACCATCACCTCACAAGCACAGCATTCCTGATGGCCACAGTTACAACATAAGGGCCCAATATTGCAAACCTTTACTTTTTTTAAATGGGTTTTATCAAAGCTATCCCATTTAAATCAATTATCCTACCCTCATGAGTAAGGTTACTTGAATGAGTAAGAGTCTGCAAGACTGGGCCTTACATGATGAATAAAATCAACAATAATTAAATTGTAATCTAAGCTGAAGTCTTTACTAAAATGAAGGTATTAATTCTCATTTGAAACAGTGAAAATACCTAGAAATAATCAATGTTTTATTGCATTAGTTATTAAAACCACTTATGAAAACTTTTCTTTTAGTTTTTGTTTTTCCCTCATTTCCCTGTTTGGTGCTCCTTTATCAAATGTGCCTGCCCATAAATTCTTTCTCTCACGGGTTTACTCCAAGATGTATGTGATCTTTCAAATGACACTTTAAACCTGAGGCTCTGGTCACTGATGCTCACCAAACATCTTATAGCATTGTTTCACTAGAATATGTTTCAGTCCATTATCCCTGACCAAATTTCATCACTGGCAATTGCCTACCTAAAATCCCTTTTCAGTAGGAGAAATTATTCTTCACCTAAGCCTCCTAATACAGTACTATTGCCTACTGTGGCTCATACACAGTGACTGCTGGATTTCTACCATGGAAATGGCTGTATTTCTATGGTGGATAAAATGAACCCTGAACAATACATAGAGGACACCATTTTCAAAATTGGGACAACAAACCCCCTTAGGGCACTCAAACTGACACTTAGGCATGTAACAGTTTTCAATTACAATTTATCTACCCACCATGAACTTTATCTGAACTTTGCAGATAAAACAAATCTGTCCCAAAGAGTTTACACTGTAAGTAGAAAATGGGCAATTGGGTGCAACAAACAGCAAAAATGATTGAGAGGTGGAATGTTATGCATATCGTAGTACTATAATTACTTCATTTTGAATTAATTTTTGTTAATATCTGGATGGTTTTATTCTTCATGTTGAGAGTGATTAGGATTTATAGACTCTTTAGAAGGGAAGGATATTTTCAAGAGGGATTTAGAGGGAGCCTCATGGATCAAGTGAGAAAAGGGATCCAAGCATGGAGTTGCAAGGAAGGAAGAGAGAATGAAGGGAATGATTAGACAAGGAACATTCCGAGGGGAGAGGTAAAAAAAGAGATGAAAGTTGGTAGGTAGGCCTGATTTAAGTTGTTCAGGCCCTAAAAGGACAGGACAAGGAGCTTAAATCTAATGCAGCAGGTGAGAGGAAACCAAGGAAAATTTTGAAGACTGGTGGGATGTGGTTAGAATAGCTGGCTAAGTAACTGAGTTTTGAGACAGTATTTTGGACACATTAAAGATGACTGATGCCAGAGTGGGAATTGCAGTGAAAGATGATCCATGCCTGGACTAGCAATGGGAATAGTGGGGGATGAATGGAATTGTGCATGTAAATGCTGATGTATGCACCTTTATGTGGGATTAGGGCTTCCTATTAGGATGCCTATATTTTGGGGTCTAAAACCTGTAAAGCATTTTTTTTTTTTTTTTTTTTTTGGTGTGTGTCGGGGGAAATACTACATGAATGTAAGGTGGTATTGTTGTTATTTATTTTGCATTATGTGTTTTACTTTCTGCTTAGGTTACACATTTGTTTGATAATGGAGGCACTGTCTTCTTTGCTATTTTTATGGCAATATGGGGTAAGTCCATTTTCCTTCCTAAGTGTTCTGTTCACCTCTCCTTCCATAATGACTATTAGTTTTAGAGGGATTTGAAGTTTAATGTAATGTTAAGCAAGTAGTATCCATGTTTATTTATATTTTCCTATTTTCTTCAAATCAATTTTTGTACTAGTAGGACATTAAAAATACTCCACTAGTAATTTATGTTCAAAACGTAATGACTGTAGAAAAATAAGACCTTTAATCCTGCAATCTATGTCATGTGTGCAGAGCTTCATGGGGGTCCACTCACACAGAGTAATGTGAAGGTTTGGGGCCAAAATCAGTGTAATCCAATGTGGAGCACTGTAAGATTAACAGATTTGAAAGCTTGTAGGCAAAGGCTAATTACAGTGAGTTAAAGGCAGGTCAGAGGGTTTTGTGTTAACTATTTACAGGAAGATTTCATGTAATTATTCTGTTCTTCGAGAGCCTCCCTGCATTCACTGTGACATTATGCTCCACACCAGGAGGCATCAAACAAACAGTAAATGCTCAGAGGTGACTCTTGAACAGGAGTTACCATTGCATAACATTTCTTTGTTCAAAAGAAGGCAGATGCAGTTTTTACAACACTGAGGGGTCTGATTCAGTGATCTTTCATTGCAGTCGATAACAAGTTTGCAATGGGAAGTCAGTGGCAACACCTAGATTATAACAAGATTAGCATGTTGTAAATATCTGAGATAGATGGGGAGATAGTTCTTCCTGTGAAAGTGCTGCATATTTGTACCCTGAGACTTTAACATTGGTCCACACAGAGCACTGACTATTCAAACCAATGCTGTACCATTGTGGTGAGGTTAAATGCCACACAGATGCTGTATTTATATAATACACATGAACAGGCATTTCTCACTCTCCCAGCTGCAGCAAGTACAAAGGGGAAAAGGAGTTTCAAAAGTGTTAATCCACAATGTGTGGTTGAACATCACTCATGTTTTGATGTCCTTGCTGGCAAAAATAGATATGCAAACCACTTAATTAAATACAAAAAAAATGGGGTGATCAATAGGAGACAAAAACAATGAAAACATCTGGTGTGTGCACTTGTAATGCTTGCAGCTGTGGCAATTCATTGTTACATCCCCACCTTGCTGTTGTAAGCACACAACACAATGGTTCCTATTAGTATTTAATTATATAAAGCCCCAAAAATTCATGGCCATGTGATTTGTCCTTCTGCACACAATATGCAGACATGTGTACAGCCATTAGCTATCACTCAGGTGCTACTTGTGTCAATTTTTTGTTTAGTATGAATGTCCAGAATAATGAAATACTCCTCTGAGCTTTTCTGGCTTCTCCCCAATCCTAAGGCAAAGTCCCTGCTTTCTCTGAGACAGACAGCACTGATAGCTGGTTGAGTGGCCCTCTAGCAATTGCTCTTCAGCCCTTGATCCTGTATCAACCCTGTGCTACTCTCTAAAGCAGAGGGTATACCAGAAAAAAAGTCAAGGGAAATTCCATTTATCCTCATAGTCAAACCCCTGACAGTTCAGGGTGCTTTGAAGACCCAGCACAGCGATGGAGATTTTAATTTTGTTTTGCTGTAGTCATGGTTCATTTTTACACTTACCTATATTCACTTACATTAGATTATCACAGTTGCAAATGAGTGAAGTTTAACATCTTATTTCTTTTTTCTTTGTGAACTTAACACACTCGTGGCCAAGTTCTCAGCTGATATTTGTGGGTGTAGCTCCACTGACTGGACCCAAAGTGTCCACTCTTAATAACACACATTAAGATCCACAGCAATAAACGTATGTCCCACACAAATATTAAGCCCCTTACTGTTGTTTTTACCAGTAATATTTTACCTTCATAAAGCCCTTCTTATGTCTTTAGGCATCTTAGGTAGCTATAAACAGATACATTATACTATTATTTTGGATATCTCAATGATTTTTAGACTTGCTGAATGAGCAAGATTTTAAACTAGTCTGTGGTTCTCTGGATTCTTTTTATATTTTTTACCCAAAGAGAATTCCTTCCTTCCACGTAGCCCATCCCAAAATATGCTGCATCATTTCTACAGATCCTAACCTGCAATGCAGATAATAGACCAACTGGTGCAGAGGAGGAGGAAGTGTTGACTATTCATTCTTGTGGTCTCCTTTTTGTAGTAATTGTAACTCTGTCAGCGTGAGCAAATTCTCTTCATGATAAACAGTAATTCACTTTGGCCTGGCAAATTGCAAGCTGTAAGTAATGTAATTAAAACCAGTGCCTTATAGCTTTTTCTCTCAGGAAGATGCAAATATCAAGGCGAGGAGGAAATCCCCCGAGCCGCAGATCTGATGGAAATGACATTTGAAGAAAGCTGCTTCTCATCAAGATAGTCATTATGGTTATTTTGTCTTGGTGCTAAACTTTCCTTAGAATCCTGGTTGTATTTTGCTCCATTACATGTTTGCAACCTCGACTGAAGCCCAGGTGCAACAAACAGGATTTTTCCTGTTTCTGTGCAGTTTACTAATATTGTTTTTTAAAAGATAGCATAGTGCCTTTTAACACAGAAGTAGATTGAGCATTGAATTTAGTTTAATTATCAACTGGGACAGTGGTGCTCTGGCACAGCAGTGTATGACTGGCATGTGTTAATATATCTTGTAATTTCAGATATGCTATCCAAAGCCTTTCATGTTAATAGCCATAGGATTATTTCAGGGAAAATAAACTTGCAAAATACTGTGGGAGCAATGTATGTAAAACAAGGCACGTAGATCACAAACGAGTTTGTAATCTGAAGCCAGTGGACGTTACCCCCAGACATTATGCTGGGGGTTGAGATGAAGTCATGTCACCCATTGGAATGCCATCATATGGTCTTCCTCTGCTGTTCTGTGCTGCTGGCTCATTTGTTGTGCTGGGATTGTAGTAAGACAAATCACCAAAGCTCACATCATGAGATGAATTATCTAATCGGAGACCTGGAAAAATACATCATGATTATTTATAGGTTTTTCAGTGGTGCTTATCGCTTTAGTGTCTGAGTGCCTCAACATTAATAAACTTAGTCTTGTAACACCTGAGGTAGAAAAAAGTTGTTGTCCCCTTTTTACAGATGAGGAACTGAGACAGAGAAAGATTCAGGACCTGATTCAAAGCCCACTGAAGTCAATAAATTGACTTCAAAGGGCTTTGGATTGGGTTCTCAGTGGCTTGCCCACACAAGTTGTCTGTAGAAGAGCCAGGAATAGAACCTAAATATTCTAATTACCTGCGTGGTGTTTTAGCAACAGGACCATCTATTAAAAAGAATAACACTAAAAACATTTTAGTTAATTTTTTTTCACTCAAAGATGAATAATCCAAAGTACTCTGGGACTAGATTGAATCCAAACTATACCATAAACTATAGTATATTCAATCTCTTCCATATTTCTTTACTGTTAAGAAGATGATCAAAACAGCAAAATGTTGTTCTTTTGAAGATCTGAGTGTAAACATGGAAATGTCAGAAAATGTCTGCACATGAATAGTGCAAGTGACTTTACACTGGATTTTTGTTTTTAACGTTCGTGGATCTGTGTTTGTAAAACAGTTGGTATCCAAAATGTATATTGTACAATATAGGTCCATAATTCTGCCAGAACTGGTCGGTGTTTAACCATCCACTATCATAAACACTTACATGGATCTTTAATAATGTATTTGTGTGCCTACAAAGTGCACTACTTGGCTGCACAATTCATTATGGCCCTACTAGTAACATTTTTACAGGACATATACAATAAACCAGCATAGTATCTGCAACAGAAAATAATGTTGCATGTCTCAAACACCAGGCACAATGGGGCTATGGTCTTGATTGGGGTCTCCAGGTGCTACTGTGATATAAATATATATTAATAATAATGGAACAGCTGTGCATGAATGACCTCTCTGCACATGAAGCAGTGGGGACCGTTGTCTGGTGTGCTGGAAAAAGTGAGTGCCCCTTTAAGGGCTAGAGAGACAGGGAGTGACTTTCTGCTGCAGTGGCAGACCAGTTCAGCATGGAGAGCCTGACTCATCCTCCCACCAGGGGACCAGAAGAGAGGGGAGACTATATAGGTTCATGCAGTGCAGGAAAAGCCCTCTTCTACCTGGATCAGCACCTACCCATGGAAGTGGTGAAATATCAGGTTTTGTCAGGACCTGCTGTGGGCATTGTGCTGGTCACTCCTTTCTCAGGGGTCTGGGAAGGAATATGTCCCTCACTGCCAGATTTGCCAACATTAACTGTATGTGGGGCGGGAGGGAGAAGGGTTGCCTTATGCACAGTAAGTTCTGGGGGCCTTCGTTGGGGTGAACATGAAACAGGAGTTCGGATATGATGTTGCAACTCATTATGTAAACGTGGGGCAGATGTGCAGTGCAAGGACTCTGTAGGGAAGGGTATATTGATGAAATAAAATGGATTGGTAAAGGATTTAAAGAAGGTATCCTTTAAAGGAGCAGAAATGGGGGGGGAGGCAGTTCAGGGCTCCTGAGACTGGTATGGCAGGGAACCAACCCCCTATCCTTTATAGCCCCCCCCCCCTTTAACCCTCATTTGGGGGCGGGGGGATGGTGGGCTCCAGCAGCAGAAGCTGCTCGGGTATATATTTAACTGATTATGGAATTACCTGCACTGTACGCTTATATCTGCCAGGTACTCCCAGGCATTTAAGAATAAAATTGAGGCTTAATTAAACCACATCCAGTATCTCCTGTCCTACTTCCATTATAGCCGGACAATGGCATTGTTTTCCAAATTATGATTCAACACAATAAGAATTACATTCTTACGTACACCTACATGGGAGAGAGAGATTTTAAAAATAGAGTAAAAGAAATTTTATTCACTTCCCCTGCATATTTTGAATGTGGGAACACTCATTTCTTTCTTTTGTATACAATTATGGAAAGAGCGGTGGGTATGTGCATATGTGTGTGTTCACAAATTTCTAGATAAATTACACATTAGCTTCCTGTTTAAGAAAAAAGTA